CATCATCCACCTTATCATCATCACCATCATCATCATCATCATCATCATCATCATCATCATCATCATCATCATCATCATCATCATCATCATCATCATCATCTTGAGAGGAAAGCACTGTCAGCATTGACACTGATGCAGTGACGTCAACTACCCCAAATTTGGTTGCCAATCGAACGGTGAATCAAACTCAAGGCAGTTATTGTATTCACTACAAAGAAATCGAAATACAGCTTCATGGCTGATGGCTTCCTTTTCTAGTATTTATTCCACCAGCTTCCGCGAGAGTGAGGTAGACTCGCTTATTGCTAATTTTGAGTTAAACACCATCATCAGCAATGCAACTAAACGAATTAGACGAAGATTGATCGCACAAGGATATAAGTTACTTCCCTGATTCACTTAAAAACAGACATAACCTTGTTACGTCAAACAACCAGTACACTTGGAGTGGGTTTCGCGGTTCATATGGAAGTTGAGCTATCAGTCCGATCATTCCAAACAAGGTTACTTTGCTCATTCGTAACGCACTACTCATAAGGCTGCTGAAAATTGGTCCACGACCGGCTTCGCCCTTCTTGGGGCTCATTAGGTAGGCGCAGTTCCCGAGTTTCCGCCAACCGTATATTCTACTTGAACACAAATTGCACGAACTTAGCGAAATACACTTAATTGCAAACTAATGAAGTTTTCCGAGGGACTCGCCTCGAACGCAGGTGAATCTCTCGTTTATGGCCTTCGCCTTGTACAACCCGATCAAACTTCTTTGTTTAGCTTTATGTCGCAGTAAAATATCAAGATAATATGACTCAATGGAACATGTAATAACCTACATTACCCACCGTGAAAACCGGTTTATTTGGTGTCAAAAATCTAGATTTCCGAAAAGTCTGCCTAATTTTCAGCTCCGTCATAGACCAGTAAGTACATTAGCCAAACTTTTATTTGACGGTTTCGTATGCCTTAGAAAACGAGCTATCTAATGGCTAAGGTGACAGAACGCTGCTAGATGAGTGAGTGGGATAATTTCCTTCACACTCACCCAAAGATGTCAAAAGATATTCAGAGTTTGACAACCGATGTTTTTTGGAGCATTGCCCGAATCCGGTGGGAAAACCGGATAGGCAATGCTGAAGTACGTTGAATGGTATTCTGGAGAAATGACTCACCCTCGATAGATGAACTGATCATACTGCATAGGGTGCGTTGGATTGGCCACGTGATGCGTATGCCAGTCGACCGACTTCCTCGAACGGTGCTTTTCGCACAACCATGTGAAGGGCGGAAACGAGTCAGGGAGATCAAACAATGACTTGGTAGCGAAGTATGAAAGCCATTACAAGCAAACTCGGGTCATTGCCGTCCTCCTGGATGGGGACCCCGAGACGGGCCACATAAGCGGTTCTTGACATGGCCCAGTCACTCCCTCAGTGGCGCTCGTGCATCCAACCAATTGCCTTCAGTGTTCAGCTCCTTTCGCAATCTCCCCACTTAATAGTCCAATGACAGACCCGCATTCACGCACCAAGTAATCAGCTCCTGACTCCAATGGGCAATTAGCTACCATACCTCCCGAAATCATTAGTGAAAGAAACTGTGGCGGCTACAACCAGTGTAAGACAAGTACGCGGTTTTTACAGCTGATAAGGATGATGATGATGACGATGATGATGTCGATGATGATGATGATGATGAGATGATGATGGATGATGATGACGATAGTGGTGATGACGATGATGACGATGATAATTCGTAGAATCGGATATCTTCCTTCACCAAATGAAATGATGAACTCCACGAGTCGTTCATCAGATACGTATACGAAATAACATGGCTGACTGAGTGGCATTTACGGTAAATATACACGACTGTCTCAAACTCCCTAAACTGAAATTACATGTTATCTATGGTGACCTGTTTGGAGTAGGGCTCAAATAATCACACTGCCCAAAGAAAGCAAAATTCACCATCATTCGCATACCATGGTTTGAGCGAATTATGTTTTTACGAACAATGTTGTTGTAGTTGACTGTTTCATCAGGATAAAACAGAAAAACGGAACGAAACCGTTATAAGACAGACGACGTTATCTACGATCGACTGATTTCGGATCATGATAATCTGGGACAAACCTGAAGCCGGTACATTCCCTTTCAAGAATCAGCAACCGTACACAAGTACTTACATATGTAGTTCCATCAATTTCTTCAAGTGACTTAATTTTGTCTAAATTTCTAAATGGAAAAACACAGATGGGGTAGAAATTGATTTGCGTGAACGCAGATGGATGGGCAAACAAATTGTGACTAAAACTAAAGTGTCGTCATGATATTACGAATATAAGTAGCAAATTAATACATAATGTTAACTTGTCCCTCGGATTCATTTCTTGGAGACCTTAGCTTCAGAGCGTTTTTATGGTAGACGTCGTACAGTCGACTATAAAGGTTTCTTATATCGCGTGTATTCATGCGCAAACGGATGTAAGCACCTTCGTCCGTATCGCACAGTGCTCGCCGATAGTCCTTGATTGTTGGCCACTTACACACTTTACTCGCTACCTTGGCGCGGTACATTAGATAGTCCCCGAAAAAGTCAAGCATCGCACTTGCATCCATTTCCGCTTTGCTTGTTTCCAGTAAAACTTCCTCTTGGACAGAGACTCCAAAATTATTCCCATCTTCGATTCGTGGTATGTTCAACTGTACCCACATACGAAGAATTTGTGTGTCCTCAATCAGTTGTATAATGTACGGACGAACGGACATGTACGCTTGTTCCATTATTTCATTGTTGACAACGGGTAGATGTACAGGCACAGTGCGGTTCGGGTCCGTATTCTTCAAGGCCTCTTCAAGTTTCGCACTCTCTGCTTCCGCGTTCATCCGAATGTTTCTAAGACCAGCATTTAAGTCAAAAATAGGATCTCGAAGTAGATCATCAAGTTCCCGGATTTTTGCGGGGATTGTATCCCGCAAACGTTCCTCCGCTTCTCGGGTAAAGTAGGCTCGCAAATAATCCCCAACGGCCACTGGCATGCTGCGGACAAATCTGGGGCTCGGTATACGCTGCAGTCACGTGACCACTGATCGATGGTAGACTAGATGAACAACTCGAGGATCGATGAATCCACCGGGGGCTTTAGGAGGGTTCGATCAGCTGATTGGTAAAGTCTAGGATTTCGGTACAAATTAGGAAGGTGCGGAATAAGTCACCAGATTTCCTACCGTTGACTGCCGCCTAATCGTGTGTGACAGAAGGTGGACTGTTGTTTAGACCAAATGGTTCAAACTAATAAGAATTCCCGAGTTAGTCCGTCAATAAATCAGTCATTTAATCTTGAAGAACAGAGATTCACGAGGTGACCTCGATTGATGATGAAACGTTTGCAATCCGACTGCCAAGCTAGGTGAAAAAACCAACAACCAAGCAGCTCACACGAGCTACCTACATTTCACAACATCGCGAGAGATTCATGCATTGCTGGTTGTCATTCCCCGTCTGAAGCATGCCCTAGTAACCTAACAAGTTGGTTAACAAGTGCTTTACTTTCAGTAGCAGAAAGGGGGATACACTAGCAATAACGAGTAGGAATATCTGTGACATCAAATTGCCACTTGATTGATTTACTTTGTTACTGGAACAGTATAGGCAAACCCAGGATTCGCATCGCTACTGGACAGAAAATGCACTCTAATTTCAACGGAACCACCAATGCCTAGTTTCTAGGAACAGTTTGGTTGTTCATCCAAAAGACGTCGTGGTTACTCGAGGACAGATCCTGTCGTCCGGACAAAATTCTGTTTGTTCCTTGTGACTAAAGGCTAGGCACCGGAAGGGTGTTACAGCTGAACGACATTACCAAAGGGATAGGGCGAGACAGACGAGATTTTAAGTATGGATTTCTTTATATGAATTACAGCCTGTTCTGTTTACGTGTCCCTAGGTCGGATTAAGACAAGATTGATCGTAGTATGAGATTTTGTAATTTCTAAATGACATTTCATCCTGCCAGCGGGGTCAGTCTATGCTGAAAAGCCTAGAAGCAATGTACAGTAGTTTCAACTTCATTGAGGTTTGTCAGCAGTGGTCATCTCACGAAACTCGGACAGCTTCGAACCCGCGACCCTCTGGCTAATCACACTATTGTTCAACCTCTGAGGACGTAACGGTTCAGCCTGATGTTCAGTGGTCCGAAACTCTCCAGGTTTCGTGAGGTGACCACTAATGATGAATTCCAGTCCGGATAAAACAATTGTACCTTACTTCTCGGTTATCCAGCAAAGACTGGTCCCATCAATAGAAAGAGACCTCACTTTTATCGTCATGCTTTCTGAAAATTCCTCAGACCGCATAAGAATCTCTAACCTGCTTATATTTAGGTGTGTTGTAATTAACTTAAAACGCACACTAGTTGGATTGTAAATTAAGAAAAGTAGAACTGCTCATGATGATATGTTCCACATTCTTGAAAAAGGGCGCAGGTCTGTCGTTTTTTCAGCCATACATCCTTTAAAAATGAAGCGATCTATTGTACAGATAAGTCAGCATAAAATAAACAGTCGGTTTCAAATCCTTACGTGACGTTTGATTCCATAGTATCGTATGCAGGGTTTTTCATAAATCAATGACTAACCTTCAAAAGGGAGGACTATAAAACTGCGCTGTCTTTACCGGAGCCCAACATTGCATTTAATGAGCGTCGAACCGGAGACAGTCATTTTTGCTAACCTCGTTTATCGACTCATAACGTTATTTGAATTTACCTCATTCTCACCGCCGAACTCCTAAGTTAGCTATCAGAACAAGCCTGGAAAGATCATCCGACTGTTTTCCTCTGTTGTCAGTTTTCTGACCAGTCAGGAGCATAAGGTAACGCAAAAGTTGAATGCAAGACAACACATCCAAAGATAGCGTCACCAGCCGCTGTGAATTAGTAGATTTTGAGCCAGACATTCAAACCATCAGTCTCCCTACATCCACGTGACAACGTATAGGGAGCATTTTTTCCATTATCCCAATATTTTCCCTTTTTTAGGAAGCCAAGTACACCTTTGGACAAGACACGAACCTGTGTCCTCTAGCTCAACGGTCGAGTGCTATTCTAGGATAACTAGCTATCTGTTCGGAAACCGGCTTTCGAGCACATCCCATGAATATTCAAGGCACTTTCCTTATTTCTACATTCAACAAAATTCCAAAAAGTCCTGCGAGAGATTTTTGTTGCATCTGGTTTTCTATCAGCAGTAACAAACCATTTGAAGCCTGCACAACTCGCCAGAAATGCATACTGGCTGTTCATCATTAAAGTGTGCATTAAAGTTCATTTCCTGGTTCGGGATTGAAAAGATATCCGTTTATTTGCTCTATTTGGATACTTCAGTGGGAGCCCAGGGTAAACCAGTTCATCTAGACAGTTCGCACTTTTAGATTACGAACCTTGAACGCATCACAGTAAATTCATAATTTGGTTGAATCAAATATTTCAAGCCAGGTGAATGCGTGTTTTATGGTCGCAGCGTCTAATTCTACTTTGTCTTTCAAAGTCTTGTTGAATCTGGACATCAAACTATTAAGTTTGGGAACCAAATGCAGTCATTTGTACCGTGCAGTCCAAAAGTTGTTTTGCTCTCTTTTACGCACACTTGTTTTGGCTCACGAAAAACCAGCCAGTGCGGCTTGAATTTATTACGTGAATAAGCACCTGGGATAGTAGGCCAATGGTCACTCATGTTCCCGGAAAAAAATGGTTCACGAAGGGCTGCCTGGCAACACGATAACCTGGAAATTTTGATCAGGTTAACCTAGTAATGAATACGTCTAAGAAGGCCAGTTTTTTCTTGTCGCATTCTTCCTCCACTGTGAGTTGGATGTTGTCTGCATACAAAGTGCCAAGCTTTACTAAGAGGTCAACAGGTACTCGATTTGCGACCGGTTGATTAGGGAACTGAGGCTGCCCCCAAGCATTTCATCAGCCGAGCGGGGCAAAATTGTTCAGATAACCGGGTTCACCTGGAACGACTGTTCAGATGATCAGCGAATATGGTTTTCACGCCCAGCAACTTAGATGGATATATTTTACCTTATACCGTAGCTGCTAGGTATTTTGCATTGAGCTGACCCAAAATGAAGACGTTCGCCCAGGTGACAGGACAGAAAAGTGCATAAAAAAAGCCCACTAAAAAAGGAATTGGATCCGAATGGTTATAATTCTAGCTTTGTGACTGAAACGTCCAAGCTAGCTGACGTGACAACATCACAATGGTTATTACAACCAATGATATGATCAAATCACGTTGGAAGCGTTCAACACACTTTCGTTCGTAGACCAGTAGTGAATGGCCTGTAATGAAGATGATAGTGTCAACTAGTGAATCAACACGGTGAAAAAATATGCAGGTCTCCACACATTTTCATGTCAGTATCCCTAAGTCGTTCAGCTATTGGACCCTTCCGGTGCCTAGCTGCCATGTTACCCGAGGGAATCACAAAGGCTGAGATACTGCCAGGTTGTCCAGACAGTCGAGATACCACCATCATTGATCTATGATTTTGAAAGGGATTTGGTGTTCGACGGAAGTTTGCCTTGCCAAATTTGCACATTCATACTATGTTAAGCCGTGCCTGCGTGGTTGCTGATCTGAGAATAAGCGTAAAAACCAACTTCACCCTAAAACAGACTGAACTGAATGGAAATCCAGAGCAGATCCTGTCATTGAGATTGGACCGTTGTGCCCGAGATAGCTCGACGGTTGGACGTGCGAACCTACTGACCGTAATTCGAACCCGACTTCTGCATCTGGACTGCTCCTGTCTAAGTTTGGTCAATCCAACTCTTTTCCAGTCCATGTACTTCCTTCGAGTGATATAGCAGCTAGTCAGCCAAATGATGAATGACTCTTATTGTCCACACACGCCGTTTCCAGCTGATCCAAAGATCGTCCTACAAACAAGACGCTGTGAGGCCAGCTTTCGACGAACTACAGTACAGAGCTTGGAAAGAAGAAATTATGCAGGTGGCGACCCAATCACGCATCTCTGTTTTCGTACATCACTAAAAGTTTGGCCATGTGCTAATTTAATATGCCATTCCCAAGACCAGAAATGATTGGAACTGTACAACGGAAACCACACGCATTTCTTCTGGCCGGTGTCTTCGTGGTCACCGCTCGATAAATGTTCGTCTCCAATGATAACCCATCATACACTCAAGTTCGTTAGATAGACAGTTTTGTGAACTGCAGCCAGTTCCACTGGCATCCAGTCGTGTTTTTTTTCTGGTGCAGGGTCCTTAAGTGCATCGTATCATTTGAAATTCCAGATCCCCGTGTTTTGCTGAGTTGTAAACACGGTTTCCCATAAAAGGGTGTTTCAAGAGTGTCGCTCAGTTAAGTTTTGTCCTCGGAGTGGCAGTGTCGTTGGATTCTATAAATCTAGATCCTACAATTTTCGCACTATTTTATTGACACCGAGAGTTACAACTCTAAGGTAGAGAGTTAGCACCCATTTGCCCATTTTTTCGATCTTCCGCTGTTTCAGACCCACAGATTTGTTTTTGAAGTCTGAAAGTCTATTTGGAAATAATCATGGACGTGATTCTGTGCACACCATGGAAGTTCCTGATTTAGGCCAAAGGAAACTCGCAGTTGATGGAGACTTGGGGATTACGCCTACCTGAGGAGCTCAAAAATGGCAAAACCGTTATTAGGGCGTCGAAGAGTTTTCAGAATCTTTGTGAGTAGTATGCGGTGACATGTTTCAAGATTATTTAGGAATAAGCTATGACTGTTTACTCCACAGGCTGGTAAAGTCAAAACTTTCGAGGAAATTCCGGAAAACTTCAATTTTATGACTAGGTAATAAGTTACATCTGAAAGAAAGAAAAACTACAGAGAGAAAGGGAATTCATGTGTTCTCATGTGGTGCGACCGCAAATCTTGCGCGGCTGCACGTGAAGAAACAAAGAAGTGTACTCGACCTGGTTAAAGTAGGATGCAAATCCTAGTTTCCTACCTTTATATTTTTCCAAAGATATTTCATTGAGCATTGGCCTGACAAATACTTGATTTTAGCTACGTGATAATCTAAAACCACTGGAGGCATGTTCAGTTAGTTTGGAAAGTTTTGTCGAATAGGAACAAAACCTATTTTCACACGATAAACCCCCCGATCCAAAACAAATATTATAGGAACTTAAACATACATTCGACTTTGTTTTCTGAGTGCCAGTTGAACTGCAATGCAGCGGGACCATCAGACATTTTGAAAGCAGACGACTGAATAGTTTTGGTAACAATCACTAGATTTATTGCTGTGCAGCGTTTCGCTGTTGACACAGAAGCTTCGTCAGGATGCGAGGTTGGTCGAGATTTGAGGTGGAAGGAGAACCAATCAGCTGAGTCAAGCTAAATCTGTGTTAGGTGTCGGCCAAAGGATTTTGTGTTGTGGTGAGTCACTAGGTGTTCGGTTTATGGGGGAGCCTACATGGATTTGAGTCCAGCTTAGGGTCTAGTTCTTGCGGTAGGTTCCCACGATGATCCCTCATGAACTTCGTGCACACTTTCCGTCCGTCCGTGTGGATGAGCTGGTGTTACGATAGTTGTGTAAGGAAGAGAGATTCTGCGAACTCTGGTCAGGTTGGTATTTCCACGGCCTGTTTTTGCTAATGATTCTACGTGAATTGACAACCACACAGTCATCCATCAGCTCCTTTTTATCTAAGGCCGCTCTCCATACTCTCACCAGTTTCACACCCTCGATAACATTCGCGCCATGATACTTCCTCAGCTATCAGCTGCTGTGGTGTGAATCGCAGTCCCCGTCTTGCAACTTCCCCATTCTCCAGATCTATTCTATTCTATGTCCTGTGTCTAACGTATGTACCGCGATCTCTGAGTCTTTGCTCAGAGCTTGGTATTCTCCAGCATTTCCCAGTGGTTTGTTTATCCTCTTTTTATGCTCACCAATTCTGGTGTGCGAGTCCCTGGCAGTTTGTACCATGTAAACTTTAGTGCAATCGTTACAATTAAGTTTGTACGCACAGTCCCTAGTCCTTTCAACCGGCAAGCGATCTTTCAATCGCACCAAAATTGAATGTAGCGTTTTTCCCTTCTGAAAAGCTACTCTTATGTTGGCTAAGTCCAGCATTCTTGGAATAACCTCCGATCTTCCTGCTTCATATGGAATGACAGTTGTGCCAATCCATTCCTTACTGTTTCTAGATACCAAAGTCAATATCCTTCTTAATTGCTACCTAATCAAACTCACCGGGTATACAATTTCTTGAAATCTGTTGGCAATCTCGATTTGAACTGCTGTTCGATCGATCTCTTCTGTGCACAGCTCTCTGACTCGACTAAACATTAATGAGACAGTGCTGGCGTATACGGACTTTGGGTGTGTCTGTTGTTTTTTGGTGAATGGTAGTTTTTTATTTTCCATCAGTCTCATGTGTTATACACTCCAAGAAGGGTAAGTGCACTACCTCACCCACACAAAGGAACGAAAAGTACAAACGACGTTCAAGAGGGCTAATCACGTGGACCATACTTACTAGACTCTAAGCTGGACCCAAATCCATTTAGGTTTCCCCATCAACTTAACACTTGGTGACCCTTGGTCGATGCCTACCACACATTTAGCTTGACTTGGCTGGTTGGCTTTCCTTCCGCCTTAAATCTCGACCAATCTCGTAACCCAGTCACTTGGCCTGATGAAGATTTTTGTGTCAAAAACGAAACGCTGCCCAGCAATAAATCTACAGATTGTTACCAAACTTTTCGAAAAAAGCCTAAAGTGGTTTAATTTCGAACGGACTGAAGTCACTTTTTTAAGCGCCAGATTAGTTATTGCAGCGGGCGATCGACCAACCACTGTTCAAATGTGCTAGCAGTCAGTCGTTATTTTCGAGCAAACGACAAACCATTTCTGTTTCAGGTGTGTACGCCCCGATTTGAATTGTGGAGACTCGAGAATAAACTAACTGGTGGAGCTTACGGGACGGTAAACACACCGGGAACTTTCGTTTTTGCAAATCAGATCCTGTTCAAACTTTTGTAGGCTTTTGCTTAAAATCGTCTTTTCTAATGAAGTCACAACAATATCCGAGATGAATCCTATGGTTGAGAAGTACCCAACTCTAGATGGAATGCCAAATGGCCTGTCAAATTCTGGAAACTAATGTCTGCCATTAGAATCAATAGGTAAGGTGCAATAAATCTTTATACCGAAATTGGTGTTCCATGTTAGATGCATTTTCAATTAGTGCCATCTTCACTGCCCACCTGTACATTCATTCAGTTAATTATAGAACCAAAGTCATTTAAAAACAGTTGAAAGTACCAGGCTATATATATACATATATATATACATATATATACATATATATACATATATATATATATACTATTGCAGCGTGTTGGGTAATGAATCCCTGCATCCGCTGGTGCTGGCCGAAGTGAGGTATACCTCGGGGAAAAATTCGTCCCGGCAAAAGGAGAATCTCGTCTGGGAAGAAGTAATTTAGCTACAGCTCTGTGTACGTGAGAACAAATTCCTTCAGTTATCGGTGTGTCTGGCAAGAAACTCATTTTTGAACTGTAGTCGCTTACAACAGCAGATACTTCCATCGTTTTCAGTCTAGGTTGAGTTGCGCTCGAATCCGAAAAACCTCAACCTAGTCAGGTGGATGAGTTCAATCCTGAGGTTTGTTGGAGAATAAGCGGCTGTAGTTAGTTGCCCAGATATCCGAAAAGCTTTTGGATGGCCACAGGCTCGAATTAAATATTTGAGGTTCTTAAGTCAATTATAAAGATGGATGAAACTTCCGGCTGAAAGGTAACACTTTGTCACAGCTCAGGATTCCAGAACCGGACTTGGGTTACCACAGGTGGTCAGTGTTAGAATATCCATTGTTTCCGCTCGACTTAAAAGATCTGCCGCAAGGCATGGAAGATTTTTGCTACAAGTTTACGGATTGTGTGGAACACTTTGAAAACCCGTAACACTTTTCATGAATTGTGTTTCTGGGCTCTTGCTCGGAAAAAAACCCTAAGTTTCTCTCTCTGTTCTCTGTATCCCGGATGGAACCCATGTCCAAGCTCCACAACACTTCCTTAGCGAGCTAAATGATAGCGCGCTTATTCCAGAAGCATCAGGTGTGATGGAAGTGGGAAATCAATGAATAACTGGTTTTAAGCCTTTGATTTTCTTAGTTGACATCAGCGGAGAATATTCGCACAACACACCAGCTGAGCAGTGCATTTGCTTCGCGCGTGCCGTAGACGCTAAAGACTTCAAAAGACCCGCGTTGGGCTTTATCTATCTTATGGCGTGCAAGCAAGGAGCGCTGCCTTGCAAAAAGATATCAAAATGCCAAAAACCATTCCGAAACGATCTGCTAGTTTCTGAGGTCTCCCCAAAGAACCGAGGTCGTACTTTTTGTCAAGTGTTGACCCCAACGAATCTTTCGGACTGGTACCGAAAAGTCTACCTAAATCATCAGAAACAGCCGCCGCGAAGCAGCACCCGATAGAGCAATGAGCCAAAAATTAGAGCAAATTTCGCAATCCGAAAAAAACTACCCCTGATTTTATGTCATATAGAATGACCAAGAAATGCTCGAAGAAACCGCTAACAATGACGTTGTTTTGCCTCCAAACATAGCCGCGTCGTACTGGGTCTTAGGAAACAGTGTCATTCTAAACAAATTGAACCACAGGAAACTACTTTCAAACGCAAATAAAGATAACAATAGCCAATATACACTCATTTGCAAACTAATTTGGTTTTTCGAGAGACCCACCTAGAGCCCAGCTGAATCTCTCGGTTTTGATGTTTTCAGGCGACTGAATGTGCTGCACCAGGCCACCTCAAATCTCAGTCGCTACGATATTCGAGATATCGTGATAGATATATATTTTGTAAGGCACTACTCATAAGTAGAAAACAGGATTGACGGAAACTCGGGACTGTGTGTACTTGATGAGCTCCAAGAAGGGTGAAATCGGTGGTGGGATGTCGAGGAGTTTTCAGCAACCTTATGACTAGTGCATTACAAAAGATAACAGTAGTTTAGCAGTTGACCCATAAGCCAGTGACTTGATCCACTCCCAATCGGAAAGGTCCTCTGAGCAAATAGCTTTACCAGGATCCCTTATTAGCGGCCAAGGGGTGCGACAAAAGACGGACCGAGAAACTAAGAGATACAACCTAATCTATATGAACCCGATTGCGTCATTCAATAGCTTTCTGTTTAACTGTAGACCGTTTTATCTGTAGACCGCGAAAGCCAAGCCCTCAAAAAAAAGGCTAACGGGCCTAATAAATTCAGTAAATCTGGACTCTATTGCTTTGCTACTCAAAGATGTCCTTGGAAAACATGTGCAATGGCTTCGGTTGATTGCAGGTCATGTGAAAACAATTGCATGCATGTAACAGGAAAGAAAAGACAATTTCGGCAATGGGTCGGCTTGTCTTCTCATCCATACTACTTGTATTTGAACCTTGCGTTAAAAGACCTATGAGATGCCTTATTTGCAAAGTACCCAAACGCAAGGTTGGTTGGAACTCGAAGACTATACCTATCTGCATTATGATCCCCGATAAGTACAAAATCGATGGTGAAAACGTAGTGAAAGGGTTTTCTGCAACCTTATGAGTAGTGTGTTCTGCTAGGATCGTCTATCGTTTGATAGGGAAAATCCGAAGGCATCACTGCGTTCATTTGTATGTACACATCCGACAAGAACAAACAAAGTAGAACTAAAGAATCAAGAATCAAAATGGTCAGGTCCCTGCTGAATGAGAGGAAAGGAGAATATTCCCAGGAAGAGAATCTGGCGCTGGCAGGAAAAAGGCATGTTTGTTTGATTGGTTGATTGGTTGATTGATTGCGGACAAATGATGCAGGGCTGTGAAAGAGATAGCGAGATGGAGACGAAGGGGAGACAGAGTGGAATGCATCGAGGAGTTGATTTGGGCCAACAATTTATGTGTGCTTTGGTTGCAAGACTGGATAATGGAAAAACGGGTCGCGTCGCTCTTCGTTCGTGCCGAGTTCGAGGAGAAACGGACAGAAGTCGCCCAGTTCATCCACCGGATATAGTTGGGAGATTGGCGATGGAGTGCTGGTGGAATCGAATGAGGTTGAGAGTGCAGAATTTTGACTCCAGCTGGAAGTAACTGACTCCTGTGTGGAAAATCCGGGGAATTGGCTTGGAATCGGGACCGGAGCAGTGAAGAATGTACCACTAACCGGTGTTTTGGCCTGATTATCCGAATGCGTCACCCGAACAGTTTCGTTAAACATCCACGGTGGTTGCTCTATCGGGCTCAGTTGTAATGATTTTGTCGTTTCGCTGAGTGGAGGCGATACTACCTTTCTTGAAAATACGTCAGAGATACTGGAAAGGCTCTGAGCAAACTGCTGATCTTGTGAAGAATGTATCAACAGACCTTGTCCCGTTTGCCCCGGATAGGTTGGTGATAGCATGGACCGGCGATACTTGGCGCGTGCATTTTGAAACCAGACCTGTGAAATTCGCGAAAATGGAGGCATTGTGTTTGAACTGAGAGCCACTAAATGATAGTTCACTAGTTCAGAAGATGCCCAACTTTGAAATGTTGTGGTTGATATTTGCGAGGTTCTTCCGAAAGTCTTAAGAGGACTATAGTTTGATCCGGGGTCTCTAATGGGAGGCAATGGTAAGGGGTAGTCCGTCGGAAGCGGGAAGCGGCGTCGTTTTTTAGTGTCGAAATGTTGACTCAGGTTGTCGATTCCCCATCTTTCAGGCTTTCATGATTTTGTCATCCGCTTAACAGCTTACGGTCATATGTTCGTAGATTTTGCGTGTGCTTTAGAAATGGGGTGGCTTAGGCTAGCTGTTTATCAATTCACGCGGTGAGAACGATCAGAAACTTACGTATCGCACTGACATATCAGAAGTTCCCAGGAAGTGGTTGGTGCAGAGAGGTGTTGGTGTACAGAGGTACAGCCTTCAACTAATAACCAGAAGATCATGGGTTTTTCACTCGCTGTCTAGTGATCAGTGAATACATTTCACGCGAACTGGACAGTGTCTTGTGGTATTTTGTACCATATGTTGCAGTTAGAAAGTCGAGATATAACGACAAAGCAGGGTGTTGACATCCCGGCACCCTTACCTATATGGTGTGCAGCACTAGCCCACCTGGGTTCACTGATACCTTTTAGATGACTTGGTGTTGGGCAGTCCGTGGTGTGCTGTATAATTCGACATACTGGTCACAATGGGTTTGTGTGCGTACTCAGAATGAGGAAAAGATACGCAAGTGCGATTCCCACTGCTGGTGCATGGAACTTGAGTTGACTTAAGCAAACTGGACAAATACGACAGACACTCTCATTTGCACACGAGTCTGGTTTCAATAGGAGATTCAACTGAATAAAGTTGGGTCTATCGTTTATGATGGTCCACTTCAGTCGAATATACTGCAGCAGGCTGTTTCATGTTTCACTTAACACGATATTCAAGATATCGCAATATATTGTTGTCTAAAAGTAATACGAGGTTGCTGTCTTCAACAGTCCCGGCACCCTTACCTATATGGTGTGCAGCACTAGCCCACCTGGGTTCACTGATACCTTTTAGATGACTTGGTGTTGGGCAGTCCGTGGTGTGCTGTATAATTCGACATACTGGTCACAATGGGTTTGTGTGCGTACTCAGAATGAGGAAAAGATACGCAAGTGCGATTCCCACTGCTGGTGCATGGAACTTGAGTTGACTTAAGCAAACTGGACAAATACGACAGACACTCTCATTTGCACACGAGTCTGGTTTCAATAGCAGATTCAACTGAATAAAGTTGGGTCTATCGTTTATGATGGTCCACTTCAGTCGAATATACTGCAGCAGGCTGTTTCATGTTTCACTTAACACGATATTCAAGATATCGCAATATATTGTTGTCTAAAAGTAATACGAGGTTGCTGGAAACTCTTCAACAGCCCACGACCAGCTTCTTACTTCTTGGGGCTCATCAAGTAAACACAATTCATGGGCTTCCGTCAGATAAATTTGGACAAATGCTCTCATTTGCGCACGTGAATCGTCTGGACAAATTTACGAATTCTTTCGATTTTTGGGCTCCATTCAATACAACCGCAAGTTTAAATGTTTTTTGCCACATGAGAAGGACTGAAGCCCTAGAAACGAACGTCTTGTAGAGAGTCAGGTATAAGGAAGTAAAAGTGAGTTGGAAACTAACGCGGAGCAGCAAAACACACAGGTTGGATTAAAAATAGGGTATGCGGAATTTCTCGATTCACAAGAGTATAAGTGCCATGTTTTGGCGCGGAAAACAGAAAATATCAGTGCTGTAAACACCAACTACTGACTACAGTTTTGCTGCCTTCCTCAGAAATTACAGTGGTCAAACTGATTAACGGTTTGCCGTTGGGTTGATACTAAATTTGGATCAGATAGTGATGGACATCCAGAACATTGTTCACCACTGAACGCAGAAAATCGTCGGCAATTTCAAACTGTTGTCATATTTACCTATCGAGATAGTTGCGTATCCAGATTTCAAAGATCCAATCAAACAATGTTTGTCATGCATGTAGAATTCGGACAATCTGTGATGCTCACCATACAGAAACGCTTATTTTTGGTCACTAAAGCTTGAAGGGAAAATTTTCCTCGCGTGAGCATTTGTTTCTAAAATATATCTGTCTTTTGGAAAATGATTATACTTTGAGGAGAGATTTCTTCACTAAAGATAGCCTCTGGTCTGTGAACACGTTTATTTCAGTGGTTCAGTTGTCCAGTCGGAAGAGATCTCTCGTCATGCATGCGTTGCAGTTGTTTTTGTGTTTCAAAACTCTAAATCCGTTAATACTCGTTTACAGTATTTCGTGAAAAAGGTCTAACCCAAAATTTCATTAGCTTTACAGTCATGCAGAGGAGAGGTTGGTCAGTCTGTCGCCCAAAGCTGAAACCCTTGCATCGAGCGAGAATCTCTGTCGGACTCTCGGCAGTTTGGCGTTGGAGTGTTCAAGAAACTAACAGGTTTCACAAACAGACCAGTCATGAAGCTTCTCAAAAACGATCGCTTCTTAGGAAATCATAGAGTGATAAAGTCCCCTGGTAATCTAATTGAATACAGCTGAGGAAAGATATCGAAACGTCAAATCTGACTCCTATTATCAACCTGGGTAAGTTTTTCTAGCAGTGCCCAATGAGCCCAAAGATAGAATTTAATGCACCACCTAGGGGGTGCCTTACATTTAGTCATTAAGTCTAACTTGCAGTATTGGCTCCATCGTACTTGCTTGCGCTGCTCTTTTCCATTTAAATTAGAATTCACAAAAACGATATAGAACTTTTTCCACAAATGTGTGTGGATGTGTCATCTTTCACCGAAAAGAACGATTTCTTTGAAAAGTCCTCATTCGTATAGCTCACCCAAGGTCACAAATATCCTGGTACATTAAGACGAATTCTTCACACATATTGTGCACACACTGCTCAATACCCCGTCCTCAGACCGTCGCGAGAAAAAGCTACTAAGCATTTGACCACCATGCTCAAAACCTTTTGAAAATCTGTCCTCTTTCGACAAGTCTGTATTGTTCACTTACTTGGAGCTAAGCCTACAGAACAAGAATGATCAACTCACCCGTTGGCTGACCAGTCGGTTGTGGGAGAGTACGACTCATCAATGGGCACATCACACAACTCTCCGGCTGAGGGGTACAAACAAAAGCCACTGGAGGTGCGAACATACCTAGGCCTTGAGCCATGAAAAGTACCATGAGCGGTTTGAACCACCATGAACTTGGGTTTGTAGCAGTTGTTGAAGACTTGTATTTGTGATTTCAATACCTTATCAGAGTAAACTTCACTCCATTGGATTGGAGGAAATCTTCCATTAAAGTATAATCGTTTTCCAAAAGACAGGTATATTTTAGAAACAAATTTTGCCTTCAAGCTTAAGTGACCGAAAATGCACGTTTCTAGAACGTGAGCACCACGGATTGTCCAAATTCTCCTTGTATGACAGACATCGTTTGACTGGATCTTTGAACGCTCGGTACACAACTGTCTCGATAGGTAAGCATGGCAACAGTTTGAAGGCGCGGGAGATTTTCTGCGTTCAGTGGTGAAAAATGGTCCGTCAATATCTGATCCAGATTTGCTATCAATCCAACGACAAACCTTCAATCAGGTTGACCACTGTACTTGCAAAAGCGGTATTCTGAGGAAGGCAGCAAAACTGTAGTCAGCAGTTGGTGTTTACAGCTCTGATATTTTCTATTTTTCACGCCAAAATATTGCACTTATGCTCTTGTGAATCGGGGAATTCGGCATACCATATTTTTAGTCGAAACAACTTCTTTTGCTGCCCATGGCATAACCTGTGGTAACTCTTTTTTGGCTTCATTCTTTATCGCATCTTTTCGCCCCTGTCGGTTTGGTTTTCTCGCTGGTTACCCTCAAGTTTGATTCAGAGGATTTCGCAGCGTCACGGTATGCCTACTCAAACTATTGTTAGTAGTCAATATTTTACAAAATCTGGTACGCAAGCTACGCCGCCTTCCCGAGACCATTAGTCCTGTGGAATCCGATTTCACAAACAAATCACTTGAGTATCCAGTCCACCTAGTGTTCACTTTGTTCTTGTCCGAGTAACGTCCGTATTTTCACATTTCACATTTCACATTTTCACATTTTCACATTTCACGCTAAGCCATCGGATGGTGCTTCCTTCCGAAGGTACCGCTGAGTGAATAAAATAAGGCCTGCAGAGAACACAATCACAACGAAATACAATCGATCCCAAGCCCCTTTGAACCAGGTGTATGTTTCGTTTCCTTTCACCTATTTACACAACCCCTCTCAATTTCCATTGTAGGTTGTAACCAGTGTTTTTTTAAATGTTCTCACAAATTGTCAACCATACGTACCATAAACAAATGTTGGTCCAGTAAGCCAGGTACTCACCTGTAAAACTCGTTTTGAAAGTCCGGTAGCAATGGACAACTCCTTGAGATCTTTGGAATCTGGGTTCTGATTTTTGTCGAAAAACAGTTTCATTGTGTGTATTTGATCGTGTTTGAACGAGGTCCGAATACGTTTGCTCTTCTCTAGCACATCTTTGGCATGCTTCATTGGTTGTTTCATCGTGCTCCGCTGTTTTCGCATTTGCGTTTCTTTCGGCTCATAGCTCATTGTTACCGTAGTGGACCGGGTATTGTAGTGCGCCGATGCTGTAAGAGATGGCGCAAATTGTTCAGCTGTCACAAACAACCACATGGTAGCGTTCAAAATAAGAGGGAAAGCTCAAACTGTAACAGTGATCCCGCTGCTTTTGTTTGGTGACCACTGCTCGTAACATCTACGGTTTTCTTGATTTATGGGCACCAGTTAGCAGTGACGAATAGCCAGGATCCTATATTTGCTGTGAAAACCGCCTGTTGCTGAAGTGAGGTCTCGTCAAATTTAAGATATGACTGAAAAGATAAGAGTACAATAAGACTAGAGCGTCTAAAGTTTAATGAGACTGGGGAAACAGCCTTGAAAAAAACTTGCTCACGAAGTAGCTTAGGCCGTTCATCAGCTAGTAGCCACTCCGTTTAAAAGCATGGGAAGTGTAGCAGGTCCATTCAAAACACCCAATTCGTTTTTCTGTTTTGTATTAGCGTGTTCATGGACCATGTAATTTCGCAATCAAGTATGGAAAGTCACATGACGGATCGAACTTACGAGTACCAATCACGTTAGCTCCTCTAAAGAATTAACTTTCCCATTGGCTACAGTAAACACGGATGGAACTAATTAAAAAATAAGCCTGCAGTCTATTTGGTTTTCACGAGAGACTCAACTGAATCTCTCGTTTATGATGTCCTCCCGTGAAAACCAAATTGATTTGCAAATGAGTGTATTTCTCGAAAACAGTCCAGTTTGGGTTCAAGTTGAACGTAAGGTTGACGGAGATTCGGGGAGTGCGTCTACCTGATGAGCCCCCAGAAGGACGAAACCAGTCGTGAGCTGTCAAAGAGTTTTCAGAAACCTTGTGAATAGTCTCCTTTATGAAAAAAGCCTACAGCCTAGGTTTTGAAAGCCTGTTATCGAAAGTTGTTGGGGTTCTTCCTAACCTGTGAATTATTTCACGTTTAGAGGCGTCTTTGAACGTCTCTACTCGGCGAATACGGTTTTGATCACCTTGGACTTCGGTCAAGAAAGAAAATAAAGGGATTCTGAGGGAGGGGACAGCCAATTTGTGTGGTATGCCTCAACTAAGCTAATGATAGCCGTGGTCCAACAAGTTAAAGAAAAATATTCACGCTCGGTTTGCAAAGCTTACTTGACGGTAAATCGTGATTCATCGTATTGTTCAAACTGCCCGTGTTCAGACATGGCGAGTAGGTTTCAATTCGATCAAACGGGGGGGAAATCTGCTGGTTTTCTACCGAAGGGAATTCGACTGTTGGAGTCGGCTTCAAGTTCATTATTCCTGAAACGGCAAAGACAGCCAACTATTTATAAGGTTCTCTAATTTTGTAAATTGATGTGACTCATTCCGGTAAGTCACGACCCCGTGACATGAATCTGTTTTGTTATTTGGGGGAATACTAAACTGATACACAAGGACGATAGAAAGTCGCTGACCGGTGGCTATCGGTCAGAAACCGAAGGGCTGCGCTCAGGTAATTCTGTACTGCGCGGATATTGTTCAACTGCAGGAACAATTATTCTGCCAAAAAATGATAGATTAGTTTGAAAATATGGAAGAATGCCTACCTGGTAACTTCTGGTTTGCTTCTCCGTCCGAATGCGACTCAGTGATTGGTGGTGGAGAGGTCTCATGAAAAACCGTGTGGAAATTCGTTTCGCGACAATCCGTGGGCGGTAATTTGTCATCAGAACTGGCCAATAGGCGAGCAAAACCGGCTATCCTGGAGTGATTTTCCTCCGTGGTGGCAGTACAGTCAGATTTTTGCGGTGATGCGAACAGACTGAGCCAATCGTTGGACAGTTTCCAACTGTCATCTGCACTCCAGGAGGTACTAGCATTGAAAAAGGGATTGGCGTCGGTTGTCATGATGTTTGATGGGTCAGGCGGTAGCGCGTATCTCCAACATATTGTCTGTTTGGTTCCGTCAGGAATTCGATGTGCCACACAATAGATATCACCGTTGTACACGGTGAAGGCATCACCACTTGTTAAATGCCGCGAGCAAACGATGCAAACGAGACACGAGCGATGGTAACAAACACCTTGGGCGAAGCGATGAATGCTATCCAGTTCATTGAACTTTTCTCCGCATCGCTGACAATGCAGCATGCTTGTGGTGTGGGAAAGAAAGAAGACATGTGATTAGTTTCTTCAAACACTAGTTCCTAGCTGGCACTAGCGCAACCACTATCCCACCGCTGCGGAGTTCCTAGCTGGCACTAGCGCAACCACTAATCCACCGCTACGTACTACTAACGCACTGATGATGTCACCTCGATTGGTGATGAAACGTTTGCCCAGCTCAGCGAACAAGCCAACGACCACCAGTTCCACCTGTCTTACTCTAAAGTCCTATCCGAATAGACATACGGCTAGCAACCTCAGGGCGATACGGAAATAAAACAGACCGGAAGAGGTCAAATACGCTATACGCTGGAACACAACTCACAGTGAACTGAAATCGGAGAACGAAGTGGCCGTTAGGTTACTATATGAGTTCAGCAACACGGGTTTTTATCAGGAGGCCTCAGTTTTATGTTGCATCTCACGGTTGACAGCTGGAAAATTCGACGTTTTTTCAAGGGAATCAAGCTTCCTGAGTAGTACAGGCCAAGGAGGTCCCAGTTTCGAGTTGCATATCAGGAGACACCAATTCGGTTTCTCACCTTCTGACATTCTCGAGGACAAATTGTCTCAAACCGTCATTGAGTGACGTCAAGCAAATGGTTGATGAATTGATTGATAGCATCTGTGCAAGTTCCATTTACGCTTCGGAATTCACACTGATCAGATAAGATCCAGGTCAACTTTTTCTGCATTCCGCATCGATTTATGAACTCACGATATAGCACAATAGGTGAGCTATCCCTGTCCAGACTTTGAACGCTCAAAAATAGTTTCCTTTTTGTCCAGCCTCTGTGTGGATCAATAGTATGGATATAAATGTTGAGTTGTGTTTGAGGGCAACAGAAACCTTTGCGGGAGCTAGTTACCACAATCGTGGGGCGTGGAGGATTAGTTTTATTATTCGTTGGTCGGTACCCATTTTCCAATGAGATTAGTCTAGTTTCTCACAATCATTTTCAAACCACCCTGATTTTTACGAAAGATTCAGTTGATTCCAAACGAAATCTCTCGTTTTTATTGTCTTGTGATATCAAATAGCTGAATATGCCACACATATGGTCGGCGGAAACTCGAGAAGTACGCCTAACCGGTGAGCCCAAAGAACAGCAAAACCGGTCATCGGCTGTTGACGAGTTTTCAGCAACCTAGTGAGTAGTCTCCTTCAAGAAAGCAGTTTAGCTCTTTTTTTCATAAAGAAAACTACTCACAAGGTTGCCGAAAACCCCAGCTAAAACGGCTTTCAGTACTGATGTATGTCGGGTATCACGAGCCCACCACCGGTTGTTGGTACTCACCCGAAATGACGATGTCATATAAGCAGTAGCGTTGCTCTCAATGTAACCCCTTTATCCTACATTGTCCGCCGCCATAAGCTG